TGTCCCCTATGCAATACTGGTAAAAGGCAGGATCTAGAAACAGAAGGAGAGTCTGCCCAAAGCATCATGCATAAGCTACAATCTATGGCAAATCCTCAGACATGTTACTACTCCACATGAAGGGCTCCTCTATTATTTGAAGCTTGTTTTTTTACAAGGTTTTTCTTCTTCTGCAGGCATTCTCGGTCTCTGCCATGTCTGGACATGGATCTTCAATTCATCCTGCAATTTCAGCCCTGAAGCTTTCCCCGCAGGCTTACCAGTCAGCCATCAGCCAGTCGCCACAAACCAGCTCCAAACAGGACTCCTGGAACAGCCTGGTCTTAGCTGAAAACCATGGGGACATCATAACTGCATAAACTGGTCTTCCACCCATAGACTTGAGGCTGATCCACTGGAGAGGTGAAGAAGATGCCACGTAATAATCATGTCCATGTTGTTTCCCTCCTCCCCTGCTCTCCTGCCTTGGTGAGAAGTTCCAACAAAGAGGTAAAGAGGACTTACGTGTAGGAGAGCTCTTACAAAACAAGCCAAGAAGACTCAAATCTCAAAGTAACTAATGGATTTGAAACCCTTTTCCTCCCTTCAAACAAGTTGCCTTTTATTTGATTGCCACCACCTTCTAAGAAATAGCCAGAAACACAAAGATGAACATATTTTTTTTGTGGGGGGTTGTCTATTTAAAAACATTTGCCATTTGAGACTTAGACAATGGTGGCACAGACACATCTTTTTCTCCTGTCATCATCCATGTGTTTCCTGACCAGAGGGAATGCCATCGTCGTTACCCCATTTCAGTGATCTTCCACCAAATGGAGCCAGTTTCAGAACAGTTTGTTGAACAGGCACGCTGCGGTGGCTTTAGTGGATGTGATATGATCTAGGGCAGAGAAAAAAAAGAGACCCACATCCTCATGCTCAGCTCATGCATCTGGAGCATTGCCTTCATTTCCTTAGATGGTCCGAAAACCTAATGAATGTCTGTATTTAATAGTAACTCCTTTCCTATTTATCAATACAAAATCAAGGGACTGTGTTTCTAAAAGATGGTTGGCTGAGCCTGGAGAAAGTCTGTCTAAAGTCAAAGGGGGATATTGGAAGGAGAAACTTCCTGGAAGCGGGTAGAGGAAACCCACCTTGGTCATCAAACCCTGGAGGAAACTGTTGGGCTTTTCCCTTACAAATAACTACAGGCCAGGCTTAGAGATTATTGTAGAGCACAGCAAATGAAAGTTTGCTCTTTAACACTGCTGTGCTGTTGCTTTTGAGACAGTTAATTTTTTCGCATACTTTTCTGTTGTCTTCATTGTCACTGATGAAATCTGATTGTCATTTATTTCTCATTGCACTCTGAGTGCCCACTGTTCCCCTAGCAGCTGGCTTATGATCATTTTCCATGTCCTAAGGATTTCACCTTTCACAACAAGAAAAGTCCTCAGCCTCTAATGGATGCAGGCAGGGGCCATCCTCTTTACTAAGCATGTGCATAGACTTGCTTGCCTGCAAGAGAAGCTTAACTCCATTCATACACAAGTATTAAACAAAACTCATGTGTTTACCTAACCATAAGCCTCTTAGCAACCAGAAAATTCTGGAAAATTGAGTTGGAAGTGATGCTAAGAGGCCACAGACTCATTCCCTTGTCCAAAAGGGATCAGTTCAACCTAACCTACCTTTAGTTGCTCTTTGTCTAACGTGTGCTTAACAAAATCCAGCAGCTCATACGCTACAGCTCCTCTGTGCAGTCTGAATGCTTCCACAGATGCTTGCCAGCATGCTTCCATCAGCGTTTCCAAGGAGGGACAGCTTTGCCTCTACAGGTAGAGAATTTCTGGGAGACCTCATCCTACAAGATTCTCCAGTCTTGTTTCTGTCTGCTCCCAAACTCCATTACCCTTCTTCTTGCCTTCCCAGCTCCTTCTTTTCCTCCCTGCATCCAGAACTTGACTATGGAACCAGGTGATACCAGAAGAGGGATGGTGCATCCCCACAAAATATGCTGAAGGATGTAAGGTGCCACCCTCCATCTTACACTCACACTTCACCATTCCCACAAAGAGTGTTTCTGACAAAATACCAAGATACGTGGCTTGGTGAAGAGGAAAGCCACAGACATGGTTGAAGCAAAACCACGACCTTGTATTATCTGTGTTTAACTCTCTATTTTCCTCCTCATGGTTGAAAAGTTTCTTTAAGGAGAAGGATTCAACTGGACTGGTTGTGACAGAGAGTTGAAATGGAGCACAGTAGAGAGCTGGACCCCTCCACAACCCCTGTGGTCTGCTCAGAACTCAGATTTGCAGGGGTTTGTAGAGGTGACAGAGACTCTGCAGTACCTGGAGAAAGACACCATGGCAGTGATGCCATGTCTGGATGGTGTTTGCACCTTGAGGCTCCTCACTGAGCTTCCCCATAAGAAGTGTGGTCCTCCCATTGACAAGGAGTGCCTTTCAGCTGGCTTATGGGAATGAAACTCCTGATCTGGAAAGTTTTTCCATCTGCCACTTGCAAGATAACCACAGAATTTGCACTCTGTCCTTCAGAGCTAATGTAAGGTCTAACCTCATTAGTTTATTAACTACAGACAAGGAAGAGGCGTTCAACGAAACATGAATAAAACATTACCTTGAAATCCTGTGATTCTGTTGAAGCCCAGCAGCCTGCAGAGAAGAGGCCAGAAATTGCACCTAAGAACATGAATTTGGGGTGAAAGAAAAAACAAAGGTGTTTCTCCAAGAGCACACAGGTCATTAGTCAGCCTCCTCCTTGTACTGCATTGCTTTGCACTCAGCAGCCAAGATCTCTTGGGATGCAGCTGTGATCTTGTCTGTGGCAGAGAAGAACACACCCCAGAGATGCCTCTTGGCTTCTGCACACATTTCAGATGCTTAAAACTACCCTGAACAGCCCTGAGGAAGAGAGAAGCAGGCAGCCTCCTGGAGAGGAACAAAGGTCCAGACCAAAAGCACAGCATTTCTCCCTCTGTGCTTATGCTCCCAAAGGCTTTTTCTGCCTTGCCCTTTTACTGTGTTCCTTGTATTGCCCTCAAAGCCAAAATTCCCAGCTGAAGTTCTCTCCTGCCCTGAAAACACACTCTTAAGTGCCATAAAGGAATCTGTTTGCCATGCCAAGCAGAAAAACTCTGCTGAGACGTAAGTCTGGTGGTTCCCTGGCTCACATTCTCTTAGGTTACCTAAACGATAGAATTTGGCTAACTGGTTTTCTGCTTCCCACACAGCCTTAAAAATTGAACACTGAAACTCAGTGAGGAGCATTTACAGGGATCCTGATAACAAGACGTCTGCTTTCATGAGCCTCTCGGCCCTTTCATAGTAGAAATGAGCTCTTCTGCCACTGCTTTTACAAGTAGTTGAAGCTCAGATGTGCCTCACATTGCCAACAAAGCATGCCAACACCAGAAGGGATGCATGAAGGGATGCTTACAGGTCATGAGAATGACAGTCCTACCAAGAGGTTCAGCTCAACCTAGCTGTGGGGCAACCCCTTAAATTTGGGGTTACATTTGAGCTTTGCTTTCCTTCAAACGATAGGAGAGGCACGGAGAACTTGCTTTGTTAATGAAATAAAACACAATTATCAGAGATTTAATATAGCAAAACAATTGTTGCTATTATTATTGCTATAATTTGTTCCATTGCAGCATGTCTGGAAGTCCAGCTGAGGACCACCAGCCAGATGACTTCCAGAGGTCCCTTCTAGCATCAGCCACACACAGTGATAGGCCTGAATTTGTGTATTTGTACACACAAAAAAAGGACAGAGTGAGAACCATCTCTTCCCTGCAGAATAAGAGCAAAGTGCCTGGTCCTGCAAAACACTTGAGCACATCTACCAATGTATTTGCAGAAGTTGTTCCCTTAAAGCTCACCATTAATCACACACATAAACTGGGATGCCTGAGGGTTTGCAGCACATATCTGGGTTGTGCCAAACCAGACCATTGCTATGGCTCCATGGCAAGATGAGAACTGGGATGGAGAGAGAGAAAGGGGTGAAAAGGTCATTTATCATTTTAAATGTCTTTCCTCCTTGTGAAAGTGCAATATCTTGAATTGCATCCGTTTTTGTTTCACAAGTTAATCCAAAGAGATCCATATTTCACTTGCAATTACATGGGCTGATTAAACCTCCTCCGATCAGGAGGAGCTCAGGAGCATCGTAAGGGAGCTTTGAAACCAATCAACAACTCTTAATATAACTGAATATGACAACAGTTAACATGACTGAAGCTGTGACTGTGCCAGGGGTGGTGTTTGGTTTCGTTTGTCGGTTTTGGTTGGTTGTTTGTTCTTTTCTCATGCATTAAGTTTGAAGATTCCCGTGTCAGCTGAGGAAATCCCACAGAAACAGACACTGATTCGTAAGGGGGAGAGGGAAACCAACCAACTGAACAAGCTGTAATTATTTAAAGATGTAAAAAAATATATATTATGAAGTAGTATGGCTACCAATCCACATAACGTCTACACCTTTAGAACGAATGGAAATAAAACAATAATAATAAAACCAAAAGCTTGGGTCTTGACTTTCCTGCTGGACATCCTGGGGAGAGCTGGGGGTAACTGCTCTCATATTCAGTGCACCTGGAAAAGCAATGCCTTTTTTAATGCATAAGGAGAAAAACAGCCTAGATGTTTTCCATCTTGTAATACCATTAGCACAGAGGGAAAAGGATGAGCTCCTGCACTAGGATGGCACCTCAATGCCATCACAATTTATCTTTTTGCTCTTTTCACAGACGTGAGTTTGTGGAGCACATTGCTAATTCAGTCTAATTGCCTTCAGCTGAGCTCACAGATGCCAACCGTTAGCTGAAAGCACACACAGCTCTCATACAATCACCTCCTCTTTCTGATGGGGGGAGAGGGGGGGGGGGGGGGAATTTAGACCCCTTCCCAGTTCAACCAGTCCCTGGGTCTGGTGTAATCGATGGGGTGGGTGGGGCCAGCACTTGAAACCTCATCCACTTCTCCTTTACCAGCCAGCAGAGGAGCTCTCTTGCTGCTTATATGTTAGTGGCTGGAAGGGCCTTCTTTCTCTGGAGAAGGGTGGTAAGGAGATTTTGGGGTGTAAGGGATAGGAGAAGGGCAGTGCTGGTTTGGGCTGTGAGAGTGTTGAGAAGTGACTGAAGGCAGGGGAATGGTTCAGGAGCATGAGGTAGAAGAAGCTGTCAACGAAGAAGGGAGGTGGCTGCTCAGTCTGTTGTGTGCAGGGTAATGGCTTGGGGGCTGGGTGCAGTGTTTAGGGCAGGGGGGTGTGCAATGTGTGTGTGAAGGTGTTGGGTGAATTCCTTGTACTGTGCTGCTTGACACAAATCCAGTGCCTGGATAATCAGGGTGAAGACCTGGAGGGCATGGTCAGAGCCTTTGGTGTCAAGAGCTGATCCCAGGGTTTTGGATTGCTGCTGGCACCTTTAGCAGCAGGAATGTCTTCTAGGTGGCTCTTGACCTGTTACTGGCTTTTGCCTGTAGTCTGAATGTAGTATGTAGCTAAATGGAGCTAGGGTGTGATTTAATTACCTCCCGCCCTAGGAAGCGTGGGGATTGAGCTCAGTCTTCTGTTGCTGCTAAAGCAATCATGTTTGTATAAGCAGTTAATACCTTTTTATCTCATGTCTTAGATCCAGATAATGTTCTCTGACATACATCATCTCTTGGAGCTTCTCCTGAAAGGCTTTGGCCCACTGCAGCACATGAAGGCTTTATAGCTGTGTTGCCTCGCCCAGCCCTATTGAGGGTACATTCACACACCACTGCAGCTCACCACCCTGTGTAGGTGGCTGCTACACAGGCTGCTTCTGCCTCTTATGGGCTGGGAGCTGCAGTGGGTGAGCATGTGTCCTTGCTCAAGCAGAAGATGGGTTGGAGGGCTGGGGCTGAAGCAGGCCCTACTGAAGGCTCTGGTTTCAGTTGCTGTGAGCTGATGCGAATGTGGGCTGTTGCTTCCTTGTGTTTTCTTGCTCTTTTTCTGAGCTGTAAGCTTTCCCTCAGCTCTAAGGCACCAAGGGTGAGAAGGACCTGCCTTTTAGCTGGTAGAGATGCCAGAGGGCCCATCAGTGAGGAAGTTCCAGCTGCTGACCTCACGTTTTGTGGGACAAGTGGTGGCCAACGTGGGGGGAAGCAGCAAGAAGATTAATGTGAATGACCTGAATGCCCTGAGGCTCCAGGATTCCCAGGTGAGCTGTGCTGAAGGTGACCCATATCAATCTGTGGCAGGTCTGAGAGGGAAGCCACAGCTACCATGCATCTGTGTCACAGAAGGTGCGTGGCCTGAGAGTGGCACCAGGGTTGTGTGTGAGGCTGTCATGGAAGGTTTATAGAAGATGAGTTGGTTTGTTCAGTATGTGAACGTCAAGAGGAGCAGCAGGCTTGTTCCTTTCAGCTGTGAGCTGGCACAGAGGCATCCCTTAGACCAGAAAGCCAGGTTTTACTTGGCTACTTGGATGTCAATGCTGTAGGTACCCATAACTATCTAAGCCACACTAGCCTCACCTCAGACTGCATTGTGGTTCCAGCTGTGGGTGCAGGTGTGTGTTGTTCAAGCCACTTGTGGTTGGTCTGAGTGTGTCTGTGTGTCTGCCCTGACGTCTTTGTCCTGCCAGGAGCTTCCAGAGTAGCATCTGAACAGAGATCCTCAGGACATCACACTTTTTTTCCCCCTCAGGTCCATGGGAAGAACTTATTCCTAGCGTTTGTGGCAGCCAGCTCTCCCTTAGAACCAAGTGTGGAAGAGACAGAGCTGCAAAAAGAGGCTGCCACAGGGTCTAGGTCCCTTGTTCAGGGAAAGCAAGGGCAGGTTTGTGCTCCATTGACTCCGACCCAGGAAGAAGAGCTGCAGGAACTGCAGAACTCCAGACCTGGTGCTCCAAGTGCAGCAGGGGGCCCAGGCTGTTGGCTGCGCTTCCACTTCGGTTTGTTTGGCAGCGTTCGGGCAAACGAGTTCTCAAGAGCAAGCAGAGCCAATAAGAGGGGGGACTGGAAGGACCCTATACCCAGGTATTTGGCAGAGGCCTCTTACAAATGTTCCTCTGTCGTTCTGGAGGGGCCCTGTTCAGGCTAAATTGCTGTGGAAACGCTTTCAGTCCTCTCCTTCTTTCCCCTCAGCAAGCATAAGTGGTGATATTATGTCTTCAGTAGATGTGAGGTGTATTCAACCAGGGAGTCTGCACTGGGTGGTTTGCTGTGGACGTGCTTCATTGTCTTGCTGTTGTGTGTTTTATCCTTAGTGAGAAGTTTTCTGCCCTTTGCCTTCTGCCTCCTCCCGGCTTCAGCATCTGACTATTAGACTCATTAGTATTATATTGGATAATCATTGGATTAATAGCATGCATCTAGGGTATTTGAAACAGCAGTGAAAATACCATTGTAGGAGCCCAGGTCACTGGTGGTGTATTAAGAGCCACTGGAAATGTGTTAAGGGGTAAATACTGAAGGACAGTGCAGACCCAGCTCTTATGAACTGTTTAATTTGAGGTTGTGGAGTCTCCTCCTCTGCAGATGTTCAGAATCTACTTGTATGTCTTCCCATGCAACTGGCTGTAGGGAACTTCTCTCTGCCTGCTGTTGTCTTTAGAACCTGCAGGGCAGCAGGAGGGATAACTGTCCATGAGTTGTGCGTATTTAGAACCTAAAAGCTAAACTGCTTTCTCTGCACTTCCCATTCTTTGCAAGTCTCTTCAGCTAAACCAGAATACGACGAGTGGGTCAGGGTGTTTGTGGCTAGTGATCTCACTCATCTCTTCTGCGTCTCTCAGGCTGGTGCTGTATTTTGAGAGTGGAGGCTTCCTTGTTTTCTACAACTGCCGAATGCACTGGTGCTCATCTCCGGTGGCTGATCCCACTTCTGACATCCTGTCTGCAGAATTCCACCGTGGCCGGGCACTGGATGCCCTCTGCACATCTCATCCCATCTGCTACACCCTCTTGGACCAGAGATACTTTTCAGGGCTGGGTGAGCTCCAGAGCACAGTGGCAGAGCAAGAAAGAGGAGGGGTGGGATGCCTGCACCCAGATCTGCATGTTAGAGCTTCTGCTCCTTAAGGTTATGACGTTGGGTTGATCCAGCTGAGAGGGTACGTGGTGGTTTTGGGGAGGAGAAGGCTTGCAATCTCTAGCTGCAGGCTTCAGATGCTTGAGTGCAGCCTTTGTGTGCAGTGAGCTGTTGTAGCATGGGTGGTTGGTACTTGTGAGAGAAGGATCCACTTGAAGCTTGGTGGGAAGAGACTATCCTCCAGTTTATTCCCAGCTGAAGGTTTACTTCTTGTAAGCTACCTCTGATACAGGAAATGGCATTGCAAGGTGTGATCAATCAGGCTGAAATCAGAGTGGCTGGATATATGGGTCTGTGTCGTCTTGCACAGAAATAGCCTTATGATCTCTTTATTTCTGACCCTTTGCAGGGAACATCATTAAAAATGAAGTCCTGTACCTGGTGAAGATCCACCCGTTAACACAAGGATCTCTCTTGGCTCAGTCGGATCTGGAGCATCTGCTTGATTGTGCCATTCAGTTCACCTCCGACTGGCTGCAGAGCAAGCTGCAAGGCAAAGGGCTGCACCTGCAGATCTACCAGAAAGAGCAGTGTCCTCTTGGGCACGTAGTGATGAAAGGAGCCCTAGGACCCCCAGGTGGCTGGAAAAGGCTTACATGGTGGTGTCCTCAGTGCCAACCTGCAGTGCTGCCAGGGGATGGGGATCTGGCCCTGGGCACTGAGTGACATGGCTCTATGTTCCTATTTTTTTTTTTTTTTCCTTATGTAGTTCAGCGTTAGATAATCCTGTGCCTGCTTAGAGCTGAGTATGCGTTGTATAGTGATTAGGTGTGGTTAAAATTAAATGGTTGTTCTCTCCATCAGCTCTTAGCCGCTTCCTTCCAAAGGATGAAAACAACCCTCCGCAGTGCTCGGTGCTGCTCATCTCTGCCTGCCTCTGAGCTGTCTGCCCCATTGGCAGGGGTGGCAATTGCTCATTAAAACCCACCATTAAGCCATGGATCAGAAGTATGGTGGCTCTGGGGGTGTCAATGCGTGACATGGAGCGCGTAAAACTCATCTTCTCAGACATAGGGTTTGGATTTTGGCTGGCCTGAGGGTTGGGCTCCTTGTGGGTCCCCTCTGCTGTGGGCTGCTCTGTGGGGCTACTGGCTGCGAGGGAGCAGGGAGGAGAAACACCATGGAGGGAATGCACGGTGGGTGAGTGAAGCCAAGCAGAAGCACTTCAGCTCTAGTTGGGAGTGAAGCAAGAAGGAGCCTGGGGGCACGCCATGTCCCCAGGATGGCCGTGAGGATGCTCCAAGAGGGGGTGAGGAAGGGTGAGAGGCGGGGCAGCCATGGTGAAGCTCCGCCCCTCGCCCCCTCAGGGCGGCCACGCGAGTGCCGGTGGGCGCCGTCACCCAATCAGCGCCGCCCGCCGGCCGTCACACCAGCTCCGCCGCACACCTATTGGCTGGCGCAAGGCTGGTGCGAGGACACGTCTCCCAATGGGCTCGCCTCGCGCTAACCGAGCCATGGGACGAGCGAGCTGATTGGACGGGGGGGCGGAGCGGCCCCGCCCACCGGCTGTTAAGCGGCGGTTTGGGGGGGCGGGGGGAGGAACGGGGGGGGGGGGGGGGCAGCAGCGCGTCGGGAGCGCGCGGGGCGAGAGCGCGTGTGGCGGCGGTGCGGCCGTCATGGAGCTGCTGAGGAAATGGCTGGGGCACCCCGAGGACATCTACCACCTGCTGCGCTTCAAGATGGGCGGCTACCGCGTCGTCATGCCGCGGATGGACCCGGTGAGCGGCGGGGAGGGGGGTGGCTCAGGCGGGTGTCACCTCGCGGGGAGGGGTCGGCTGCTGTGAGCATCGCCTGACAGTAGTGCTGTGCAGCAGCTCCCTGCTGCCGTGCGTTGCACCGGGCCGGGCTTTGCTCGAGTTCTGAGCATTGCATTGCTTCGGAGCATCGCCCGGCTTCAGCGTTGCGTTGTGCATCGCGTCTCTTTGGGACGTCACACGGTCGCGGTGCTTTGCAGCAGCTTCCTGCTTCTAGCTGTGCTTGCATTGCACAGCCGGGATGCTCTGCATGCATCGCAGCTGCTGGGAGCATCGCACAGCCGGGATGCTTTGCATGTATCACAGCTGCTGGGAGCATTGCACAACCAGGGTGGTTTGCATGCATCGCAGCTGCTGGGAGCATCGCACAGCCGGGATGCTTTGCACGTATCACAGCTGCTGGGAGCATCGCACAACCAGGGTGGTTTGCATGCATCGCAGCTGCTGGGAGCATTGCACAGCCAGGGTGCTTTGCATGCATCGCAGCTGCTGGGAGCATCGCACAGCCGGGGTGCCTCTCAGCAGCATCCTGTGTGCTGGATCAGCCCTGACACGCAGGTACCCCACACCGCTTTGCAGCACCGTGCAGCTTCCCGTGCGTTCACGCGGGCTCTGCTCTCTCCGTGCATCTCACGGCCGCGGTGCTCTGCACGCATGGCGGTGCTGGCAGGGGGCGCGCCGTTCTTAGGGGCCGGTCTCGGGGCGGAGCCCCCCTCCCTCGGCCGGCCCTCCCCGACACCCCCCCGCCGTGCCCATGGCGGCCAGCAGCAAGGCCACGGCTCTGCTGAAGCGCACGTTGGCTCTGTCCCCCCCTCGGGGCGCTCCCCGGACGGCTTTAGGGCGGCTGCGGGGCGGAGGGCGGCGGGGACAGCGCAGCGCTGCCGCTTCCTCCGGGCTCCCTCCGGCCGCTCGCCTTCAGCCCCCCCCGTTGTGCCCCCCGTTGTGCCCTCAGGACTCGCTGGGACTCGGGCTCCGCACCTGTTACCGCTACCTCAACCAGACCAGCCGTAGCTTCGCTGCCGTCATCCAGGCGCTGGATGGAGAGCTGCGGTGAGTGGCATTGGGGGTGGTTTGTGCGATGCCCACGTTGGTGGCTAAGGGGGGGGGGTGTGCGGTGCTCCTGTGCGCTGGGGTTGTGATAGTAGCAGGGGTCCATGCTGCGTCCCCGAGTGCTGGAGCGGCGTGGCTGAGCAGATGTGGGTGTCTGTGCACTGTCTGCATGTGCTGGGGGTGTTTGGTTGGGGTAGCAGCAAGCATGGATTGTTAATAGTACTGGGGATGTTGAATTGGGATAGCTGTGGAGTTTGTACAGTGCCCCCCGAGTGCTGTAGCTGCTTGGTTGGGATGGCAGGAGGTGGCTATGCTGTGTCCCCAGGCCTTGGGACTGCTTGGTTGGATGCTGCGTCCCCAGGCTTTGGGATGGCTTGGTTGGGATGGCAGGAGGTGTCTATGCAATATCCCCAGGCACCAGAGCTCCCTGTCTGAGCTGGTTGAGGGTCTGTGCAATGTCCCTGAGTACTGGGGATGCTTGATTGAGCTGAGCTGAGCAGGGGGTGTTGAGCCCATGCAGTGCCCCCAGGTGCTAAGGCTGCTGGTTTGGGATGGCCAGGGGTATCCATGCAAGTGTCTTGGGCACCAGGACTAATTGACTGGATTGGGTGGGAGGTGTCCATGCTACACTCCTTGACTGAGCCACTGGGAAGTGCTCTACCATGCTGAGCAAAGCTTTCCAGGGGGTGCTCAGTGCAGCCCTACTACGTGCAGCAAGACATGTGCGTTATCCCAGCAGAGTTGCTCAAGCATGATGCCTCCATTCTGCTCCCTGCCAGCAACAGAACTCCTGTGTTCTTCAGCCTGGGCATTGCAAGCTCTCAGCCAGCAGATGGTTAAATGCAGCACTGGGCAGCGTGCTGTTTGTGACACCCTGGGAATGTGTGTCCTGGCAGCTTCGGGAGCTGCCTTTGGGTGCCTTCCTGGCTGCGAGGGGTGGAGAGGCATGGTGGGAAGCAGCAAACAAAACAAGGGGTCTGAAACCTGCAGGAAGGGTGCGTGTGGGATCAGCTGCCTCTAAACTTCATCTGAGAGTTCCTCAGAGGCTTTCTCTGTGCTCACTTTTGCTTTACAAGTTTTGATAACCTGTGCAGGAAAGCTGCACGTGGTAATAATAGCAGATGATGCAAGACTCAGCTTGCCTTGAGATTTTGTACATACCAATGCACATTTTCCCTACTTCCTTATATTCTTACAGAAATGGCTATTTTCAGTACTGATCTTTTTCCATTTAATCCCAAGCCAGGTCAGTAGTTAAAGCCAGAGGTTGCTGTAGGTTTCACTCTGTGCTTACAGCCAAACAGCTTTGCACAGTGTCGGCCCTAACACTGTGCTGTCTGTGGGTTTCCCAGCCCTGGGCTGGTATTTTGGATGCTGACCCATAGTTATATCCAGCATTTGTGAAGTGTCTGCAGGCTGTTTTGCAGGAAGGCAAAGAAACCCAGTGGTTTGGCTCAGATTGCATAGGAAGGCATGAGCAGAGCCAGGAACTGAACTTCTTTTTCTCCTTGCTTGCTGTATCTGCTAATACAGATATTAAGATACAGAGCAATAACACACCTTGCAACCTGTTCCTGTGTCTGTATGCAGTGCTTGCCTCGGTCATCCCACTTTAATCTCCCTTGTCTGTCTTTCTGCTCTTTATCCTTGCATTGTAGCTTACTGGGATCATGAAGGCTCCTTATCCTGAGGGCTCAGAAACTCCATGCCTGGCATCCTAAAAACGTTGTTGCTGGATATTTGCAACCTACGTGAAGGGATTGTTGCTGAATTCCAGGCTGGATGTGGCTCTGAGCAGCCTGGTCTGGTGGTTGGCGACCCTGCACATAGCAGGAGGTTGAAACTGGGTGATCATTGTGGTCCTTTTCAACCCAGGCCATTCTGTGATTCTGAATTGCAGCTGGCTCTATAGAGAAATACATTATCAAGGCACAGTAGTTTCACTTCAAGAGTTTTTGAGGCAAAAGAGGGAGAATAGGAAGGTTGTGATTTACGGGGCTTGAACCTGATTGGAACAGCAGGGCTTCCCAAGGAATTGATTTTGCTAGCTCAGGTCAGAGGAGCACTCAGTCATAACAAGAGTAAAACTGGCTCGTAGCAGAGTTACAGTGCTTCCTCTGAGTACTTCATAAAGCAGAGCTTCTGGGAAAGTGCTTGGAGTGATGCTCCCCAGGCTCAGGTACGGCCAGCTGGGCTAGAAGGCATTGGTGTCCTCTTAGTTTCTATTTGGTTGGATAAATCTTGTGCCACGTGGGCCATAGAATTATGTCATAGAACCACAGAATGGCCTGGGTTGAAAAGGACCACAATGCCCATCTAGTTTCAACCCCCCTGCTATGTGCAGGGTCGCCAACCACCAGACCAGGCTGCCCAGAGCCACATCCAGCCTGGAATTCAGCAACAATCCCTTCACGTAGGTTGCAAATGACCTTATGCAGCCCATTTCTTTCTTGGGAAGTGGGAGGCTCAAAACTTGGATTTCATCACCAGCTGAGCCAGCATCGTAGCTTCTGATGGTGGGAAGAGGAGAGAGAGGCTGCCTGGTTCCTCTGCTCCCAGTCCAGTCCTCCTTTGGGATGGATGCTGCGGGTTCCTGTGGTCTGCAGAGAAAGGAGACCTTGTCTGGGGATGGGAGAGCTGCAGCTAGGACAGAAATGGAGAAACAGAATCATAGGATATCCCAAGCTTGAAGGGACACACACAGATCATCGAGTCCAACTCCTGGCTGCATGCAGGACCCATCCCAAGCACAGAACTCAAGCTCCAGCCCCAGGCTGAAGTCAGCCTTGCTCTACAGAAGCCATCACTTCTCATTTGTGAAGAGGAGGAGGTGCTGCTCCTCTGCCCAGCACTGCTGTGTGCTTTTTGGCAAGGATGACACTGCGTTGTTGGCTTTGGCCCCTCACATCAGCCTCGGTCTGGAGCTGCTTTCACCTAGTAATGAGTGCTTAAGCAATCCCAGCTCATTTCCATTTGTCAACCATTTAATAAGTACATCA